GGCCAAGCAGCTTCTGTGCCTAGCGACTCAGATCACGCTGTTGTGTGGGAGTGAAAAGTTTGCGGGAAGTCTGGCAGAATCGTGCGTCCGTTGTGGGGTTACGTGTTGGCGAACATGACCGGACACGCACTCCAGAAAGGCAAGGGGCGAAAGTAAAGTCAAGGATGACTTGACAAAATCGTCATTTCAATTTGTGTCGGCCCCGAAAAAAACTGCATCTGGCAGAACAAGCGAGGCCGAAAACCCGATGGCTATAAGCATTTTCGTGCATGTCCCAGAGAACACCATGGAACCAATCAGGTATTGCCTCCAGTGAAGCAGCCCGCCATGATCACGCGCAGGCGCGGGGAGGGCCGGATAGGGCAGGAAGTGGGCTGTTTGCCCCCACCATGAACATTATTGCGCGCCCGCGTGGGGACGGGGGGGGAGGGGGCACAAAGGGTAGGAAGTGGCCTTTCTGTTCCCAAAGCTGGGGGACACGTTACCCCACCAAGATCATGACTACGCAGTCGCATGGCGAGGGCCACGTAGGGCAAGAAGTGGGTATTTTGTTCCCAAACCATGATATTACGCACGAACATGGGGAGGGTCAGATGGGTGAGAATTGGCTTTCTAGGTCCCAAACACCAGGGGCATGCTTCTTGCGCCCCCACCACAATTACGCTTGTACGCAGGGGGGGGCAAACACCCTCCATCTCTCCCCCTCTACTAAAAATTTTCCGTTAAATTGATTGAATAGTTGCTTGAGCAAACCTTCATCTATAGAATGAGAAGATCCAAAATTTTGTTTTCATCATGAAAGAAAGGTGAATCCAATAGGGGAAAAAAAAAAAAAAAAAAAAAAAGTCATATCTATAATATTATAGACATACGTACATAGTACACGTTTGCATTTTGTTTGAATACTTGAAGAATAGCTTCTTTTTTTTTACTGAAACAAAGGTCGCTCGCCACATCGTGAGTAAGTGTACAATGTGGCACTCACGTCGATCCAGCCTTTGGTCCCAAGTCTCCATGCAGCCAAAAGTGGCAGGCCGTATGGGGCGACATTGGACAATGTGGCATGCACAAACGCCCACCGGGTCAAGTACAGGARGACACGCGGACACATATCCATGCTTTCGGACAGATGGCACGTCGCAGTGGCTAGATGCTTACAACGTGGCACCCACCCCAACATAAGCTTGGGCACAGTTCTGCTTTGAGCTGAAAGTCAGGTACCGCATCGGGCAAAAGGGGCTTCAGACGGAAGCAGCAAAACTCAAAAAAAAAAAGGGAAAAACAAAAGAAGCAAGCAGCTCATCGGCCCCTATACAAGGGCGACGACTCTCTTCGGACGCGGATGACCGTCGTTCAAACATTTGAGGAGGGGTGGGGAGCCAGAAGGTGAGGGAAACCTTTGGAACAAAGGCCCGAATCTCAACAGATCGTGACGACAAGACCACTTTACTGCTTACAACACCCCGTTCCCTGTCTAAGTCGTCTGCAAAAGGTTT